GTGACAGTACCAAATCACAGTCACCAGGAGCCAGTTAGCTTGCTGTGAAAGTACCAAATCACAGTCACCAGGAACGAGCTCAGTCTGGCGACGGAAGCATTGCTCCCCCAGAAATACGCTCCAGTTTTCCTTTAGGTCCAAGTTCTGAGATCTGGGCTGGTGGTAATGATAGGCCTTTGGTTTTTGGTGTAACACTTTCTGGTGTTTTACTTCTGAAGGTTTAAAGCCTGACAGATGAAGCGGTACCTGCCTGGTAGAAAAAAGCTTACCCCATGGGCAGCAGGTATTTGACAAGCAAAAGTTAACATTTAAAAGGAATTTAGTTGATTGAAATTAGACTTTCAACATCATTTATACTAGAAATAATGAGAAATTTAAACACCAGGTTCTCTGTAATTTTAGCTGGAGCTTTGACAGCAGGTAGTCAAAAATTAGGATAGCCCAAACTAGTAGCCAAGCACATGGAGCGCTGTTTGGTTGTGTAAAGTGTCTCTGGCTATCCACTGTGCTAGCTCAGAGAAGGAAACAAGGAAATTCAAGCAACAGAAAGGGAAGGAACGGGCGGCAAGCGGGCAGCGCCGTCAAGCTCCCTGACCAGCCTTTCTCTGCTGGCCCTGGGCATCTGGGAGGCTGCAGGCACTGCCCCGTGGCAGGCTGCACGGGGAGCAGCCGGGAGGTGCGCGGCTGGCTTGGAGGAGAACCATTCCTTCAGGAGATGAGGATGACCTCTGTGGTGGGGAACACGGGCCTCGGGCTGGGTAGCAGCAGGCCACAGGCTGTGTCAGCTCCACCAAAAATGCTGTGAAAATTCCAGGTACCCCCATCACTCATACAGCACCTGTAGCTAACAAAAACACACATCTAGAAGATACCAAAGCCCAACTAACTGCTCCTTTGGCATGTGTTTTCGTTACATACTGTAACATATACTGGAACTTCCTAAACAAACTTACAGCCGGTAAATTACGACGTTCAGACAGCCTGGCTTTTTAACATCTCTGAATGATGACATATTTGAGGAATACTGTTTTGGTCATGGGATCAGACTCACCCTTTTGTTGTCATAGAGAAGTACTGATTAGGCCTCCTTGGAGTAATAAAAACTGCTCTGTCTTGGCACAACAGGGATTTATCCTTTGTAAGGCTACTCAGGGCTTCCTGAGGCTTTGGCTGGCTGAAAGCAGCTCTAAAATCCCATCTGCCGAAGCTGCAGCAAAGCTTTCTGCGTGCTCCTTGCAGGCCAGCCCACGTGCTTAGGATGTCGTTTCCTGGCAGAAGGGAGGCAGCACTAGTTTCTCTCCAGTTGTCTCAGCTTTGCCAGAAGAAATCCTTGAAGACAACACAGAATAAATCCAGTCTGTATACAATTAGAGAAATGCAGTGCCAAATAATTGAAGATGAGTCCAAGTTAAATCTATCATAGTTTAAAGCTGTGTTTCATCTTTAGCTTTGCATTTCTTGTCTTGAATGTTTGATTTTTTCCTCTTTGACACAATACTAACGTGGGGTGGGGTTGGGTTCTGCATAAATGTATGTAAATAATATCCATGGGACACAGATTTTGAATAGTGTCTTTTGTTCAGGAACAAAATGGGGTTCTCATTGTTACCAAATATCGCTGTCACATTATTATTTAGCAGCTTGACAAGTCACAACAAACACGCTTCATTTCTTCAGCTTTCAAGTGATGCAAATACTGGCATCTCTGCAGGTAGATCAGAAGTTCTCTGTTCAGCGACAGGAAACGCCAAGGCAGTTTTTTCAACATTAAAAAAGCAAAACACCATATACTGAAAAATATATTACCAACAAAGCAAAGAAGCAACTTGCAAACGTATCTTGACTGGGGTAGATGGTTACACTTCTCCTTTTCGGTCAGTGGCAGAAAGGGAACAGGAGTTGGCTCAGCAAATTCCCTCAGCCCAGTGACTGCTGGTTATGTACTTGCTGGAAGTAACCTCATTAAAAAGTCTTGTTTTGCCCAGTAGAAGTAGCTGGCAAATGATCGGTTCAGCTGCCGTAAGTTATAGCAGACCAACTCAGACTTTGGAAATTAAGGCCACGGCCACGTTGACTGCAGCCTGCTCCCTTCGCTGGCGCTGCTGGAGGCGGCTGGGAGCGCTGGTGCCCGCAGCGCAGCTCGGGCCATCCCAGGGAAGCTCACACAGGGGGCTGCACCGGGACCGTGGGAGCTCAGCGCTGCCAGCGAGGATTGCTTTGTCCCCATTGTAGGAAACTGCTCTAGCCATGGTTTAAAAATAATACTTACACACGTTTTCACATGAAGTGAGTATGGACCTTTACAATGTTCAGGTATAATTTTCATGTCGGCATTTAAACTGCGCTGTGGGCTATCAGGTCTGGGCATTCTGGTGCTTCCTCTAGAACAAGTTAGGCTGGTGATGAAGCCGATTACTGCTAGAAGCTTGATTATAATCTCAAATTTTGTTCAGAGAAGGAAGACGTCTGTGTTCCCCCTGCTCCTTTTCCTTTTGATCCTCCTGCCTTAGTAATTTTTTATTCCACCTGGGATAGCTACACAGCCACAAAGAAGCAGTAACGTCAAGTACATGTGTAAGCTTTGCTGTCTCTCCTGATCCTATTTATTCTCACTGTCTCGTGCCTCCACTTTCTAATCACCATTCCTTATCTGCCAGGTTAATTTTTTTCTCTGTCTTTTTTCCTTTCTATTTTCTCCCCATACCATTATTTCTTCTGTATATTTTAACAGGCATCTTCTCTTCAACTCATTTTTCCTAAATACTCAGGTTGCTATCTTGAAGGTCAACATCTCATCCATGCTCTTTTCTCCCCTTAAGAGATGCATTTTTCAGTTCCCTCTGTCCTGTGTTGGAACCATTTAACAGCCATTCCCATTCCTGCCACCAGAGCTTGTCCAGGCAAGATCCACATTTACACATTCTGCTGCTCACCCCAGCTATTTCAGTCAAGCTTTTGTGTTTGTCCTGGTGACCGCTTTAATTGGCGTCTCCTTAGTCCCCTAAAGCCAGTATGCAGTGGCACTACATTTTTTTTTTTTTAATAAAAATATAGTATGAATATGTAAGGTTGTCCTATATAAGGCTGTGCCACCTTTGTGGCAACAGAAAGGATGTAGAAATCACTGTGCCCGTTTTTCTCCTCTTTTCCTGTCTTCTGTCTTTTCAGTCTTCTCTGAGCTGACCTTCATAACTGAAACTTCCAGCTGCTCTGTGTAAAGCCGCCTTCGAAGATGAGCCCTGTGCCCCTCTCTGGGTCTGTTGCCCGAAGGTGACCCTTGCAGCTATTTCTGGGGGAACCAAGAACTTCACCTCCCTGACAAGTACGACAGAGAAGGAACAGAGTAGCAGAGGCCACCAAGTGATCTGCTTTCTCTCTCTGCCAATAAACAACAAGAAAACAGACTCTTGTCCAAAAGAGATCGCCACTAGCCACTTTTAAAACTGTTTCAGCGAACCTGTTCTTTTCTGTGGAGGGGAAATGAGGAACGGGCATTTGGCCGCACGGAGCAGAGAGCAGAGGGCACCGGGGTGCGTGTAGTAGCGTGCAATGCTGTCAGCTGCTTCCTGGCATCCGCGGCATCTGCTGGGCATCCCCGCCGGGCTGCAGCGGGGCCGTGCTCCCGGCACCGAGGATGCAGACGCCTGCGCGCTCTGCCGGGACCTCAGCACTTCAGCAGTCCTCCCTCCCGTATGCAGCACAGTGCTTTCAGACCACTGTAACTACTTATTTTCTATACCTTAAACTGCAAGCTGGTTATATGATAAAGTATAACCTCATAATGCCTGGCCAATTTAAGCAGCTCAGCAACACAATATTGAGTAATAATTACACGGGAGAAACTTACTTCTTGAAATGCAATACCAGAGAAGTTCCTTTAAAAAAGAAAAAGTAATATGTAATAGTTCTTTCTCTTTTATGTGCACTCCCATTCCCACAAAAAAGGTGCTGAATGAAGAATCTGGCCTCTTTTTTGCCAGGATTTTTTATCATCTTACCACTGCCAGACTATGAAAGGATCCCGCTCTGTTCTTTGCTGCACTAGAGCTTTCTGCATCCACATACTGCTCCACAGTGAAGCTGGCAACAATCACACTAACCTTTCAACAGCAGCACAGAACAACTCGGAGTCCTACCTGCTGTCAATGCCAAGGACATAATCCCAAAGGAAAAAGAACCTCCCTGTGTAAATACAAGCGGACAAAACTGACAAAACGCTCCATTTTTTTTTCTCCGAGAAGCAGTAGTGCTTTCTGACTCTGAAAGTGCTAGAAATGAACTTGCAACTGCATTGAGCCTCACACACCTCCTCTCTAGTATTTTTTTACCATAGATAAAGATCCCGTTGCTTGACCTTTCTCTGAAATCACTTTTAAACACAGCTTCAGAAAAAAAGGTGCAGAGCAAGTGTGATGTGCAGTGGATCATCTGACGGTCTTAGAGGGGTCGGGCTATATTCTGAAGGTTGCTTTTGAGTTTGTCATTTTTAGAGCAACTTTCAGTTTGCCAGATGCTTGTCTCAGCGACTTGAAATCTGGAAAAGTAAGTAGGTGTTCATTATTTCTGGGTACAGACTGGCACATCAATGTTTGTACTGTGGGAGGAGAGGTATATTTTTTAAATTACCAACTTTTTAGATGACATGAGATGCTTCAGTTAATAGCACTGCAATTAAATGGTCAGACAAGATAACAAGATACCTACTCTCTTTTATAATTCAGAAAAGATAGTAATAGATAATAACTAATACTGCTGAGGGAGTCCGTGCACTCCACCTGCCAGAAGGGGAAATGAGCTCTAAACAGAGAGAAATGAGAAATGTTGTCAAAAGCTGACAGCTTTGTGGGCTCTTGTATTACACAGGGCTGTCCCCGAGTTACCAAGTAGATCTGGCATTAAAATCCATGTCTGGGCTGCAATGTAGCCACCAGGCGGACAGAAAAAAGCAAAGCAAAGAATAAGCTGTAGCACTGCAGCTGTCACCTGACAAGAGCCTTCAGCACCTCCTTCCTTTTGTTTCCCTTGCTCTTTCTAACGTCTGCCTGCCTCCCCTTCCAGCCTTGCCTCAAGGAAGACCGTAGCATCTAAAAATACTGTCTTTCAAACCTTCATTCTCAAAACCTGGTCCCCTCTTTTATAGGTGTGTATTTCACCCAAAATCTTCCTTGGCCTTTTCAGTCTCTGAATGCCTCCAAACCGAGGAATGATGCTTAATTGGAGAGCAATTATCACACTTCATGTCAGATTCTTTCCCTTTTACTATTATCATCAATAATCCATTGAAATCAAGGGACTTCTTGCAAATCAAGGGTGGTTTTTTTTTTAAGCATGGCCTTGAGTGCTCTTTAATGCTGACAAGCAGAGTCAGGAGTGCAGCGCGGGGACGGGCTGGACTCAAGCCCACCCCCCAAGGAGGTGGTGATGGCGAGAGCACAATTACTGTTCATCAGGGCTGAGGAACAGGCAGCAGGAGACTGCTGTGATCCTGCCAAGAACCGAGGGGTTGGTTTGAGCAACTAACTGGCCTGTTAACTAGAGTTTAAAGTGGACAACTAGTATTTCCCCAGATGCCAGCTTCTCCGGATCAGACCAAATTAGAAAGCTGAAATGCTCAGACTGATCCTTTTGTCTCTACAGCAGCTTACCTTGCGCCCAAGCAGGAGTCCCGCCGGCACACCAGCACACTGGAGCAGGAGCCCCTTGGTGTGCGCTTGCCACAAAACAAGTTTCTGTTTGCGTCCTGAGCTGTGTTACAGCAGGGTCTCAGGCACTGCGATATGTTTCAAACCACTGCAGGACTATCAGTGCCATTGGGGTGAGGGGAAGACAGCAGGAACCTTAAATTATGGAAATTACCATAAGGCTGATCTTAAGAGAGCACAAAGGTTCTTCGTTTCACGTAACAGTTAACGCTTCTGACAGAAAAACTTTTTCTCTGTATAAAGGCAGACAGAGCGCGGGAGTCGCTGTGTCAAACAATCGAGATGAAAGCAATCTCTGCTGTGCATCATCAACTTACACATCTGAAATTTGCCTCTCTACCTCCCCTCGCTGCTGTAGTATGATGCATTATTTAACCCTGCATTTAATTCTCTCATAAGAGATCTACCAAGTTTAGTTCAGGTCTAACGGTGTGCTCTTGAAGGGGCGTTGTTTGATGGGACCTATCCTGAACGTGCCTCCTCCCTGCTGCTGTTCGTCCTTGCGTACTTCTCTCTCTGAACATCTGTTATCACACACTTTCCTTTAGCCAGGAAAAGGAAGAGGTTTTTTTTTAAACACCAGAACAAGAAAGAAAAAATGTCCTGGCTACATGGCAATTTCTTTTTAAACCAAGGAAACATGAAACCATGTCTAAATTATGTTCCACAAATGCGAATGAAGCAGATTGACAAAGTTAAAGTCCAGTCCTTTCTGGTTTTATTCTGTGGGGGTGCGAAGGGAATAGGTGGTGTGACAGGAAGGAGGAAGAAGTCCTCTCTCCTCTTAGCAGTTTTCAGTTTCTGTTACATCCACTTTTCTTCAAACAGTACATATCACTTTTCTTTTACAGAAACAAAATACCACGTTAAGGATAAGATTCATTGAATGAGTTCCCTCCGCTATATGAAAACTCTAGAAAAACCTGCAAAGAGGCTATGTAAGCAGTAAGCAAATAATAATAGGATAAATAACAACAAATAGGATAAATATTAACAGGTAACAGGCCTCAATGCAGAAGTGAACTCTATATATTATACCAGATAAATTTCTTACCACCCAATGAAATGAGAACATTGCGTAGGCATTTTAAGATAAATACAGTATCTTACTAAAAATGTCACATCCTCTCTAACTTCACCACTCAGTCCTAATGGTTCCGAACAATATACTGCAGTTATTAGCATCCTGGTCAAGAACTGACTGCTTTCCCCAAAAACCAGGCTTAGAGTAAAGGCTTGTTAGTTCATTAAATTAAGCAGTAATTTCAACAGGATTGAACTGCTTAGTTGCCCCCCTAAACCTAAATGGACTCTTTTGATACATGTATTTGAGGGTTGACTGACCTCTCATAGGATTAATTAATAATTAATCACAGGAACCTTATCGTTCAAATATAATAAATGATTTTTTTGAGGTACAGGTGGTCCCCAGAAACACACAGCAGCAAAGAAATCCATAGATCTGAAATTTAATGAGGCAAATTCATCGATTGTCACAGTCCAAACACTTCTGCTTTTCAAGAAGCCACATCTGCCTTCAGATGTGCCATCTGGGGGGAAACAATACATCTACTTTCAGTATTATATGAGTGAGAACGTCACTGTCCCAATTTTAAATTTAGAAGTTCAAAAAAATCTTTGTAATCTAATGCTCAAACAGTACCTACTGCTACGTTGACCACAAGCATCTCTGAGCATTGCTACGGCAGAGATTTGTCTCCAAGAAGAAAGGCTGAATAGAGCAGCTCAGGTGTAAACTAGCACATAATACTCACACTTGCAGAAAGTGTTTTATTCAGTACGCTAGCTACTTTTTTTTATTTTAAGCTAATTTCAAGAAAACAGCAGCCAGTTGCCACGTGAGGCAGTAGAGCAGTAGGGCTGGAGCCTCTTCTTGGAGGTGTAGTGCATCACTTGAAAATTTTAAGTTTCTCCACGGTTCCCTCACCGCCCACTTTCACAAATACAGTAACTGAAAGTCCAGAAGTGTAGCACGGCACTTTGGTACTGTCTGGTTTAGGTGAAAATGCATTGTCTTTAGCCATTTTCCCCATTGTGAAACTTTCTATTTTGAGCCATAAACTATATTCTAACGGTATTTTAATTGAATGGGAAAACAAATGCCATTTTTATTATTTTGTAGAGTTAAGAAACATCATGGAGATAAAACGAATCTGTGGGAGTTATCTATCCAATACTCTCTAACACAGCTGTCTACACTGGAAAATTAGAACCAGAGACTTCCAGAAATCACAGAACAATAAATTCTTAGCTCTTTTCTGTCCATCAACAGTAGACTTTTTTCTTTCAACTCTAAGAAGATTATAAATGCTGAGTTACTTTGAGCTATCTGAGCAATGATTTGGGTTTCAAATGAGAACCGTCACGGTTGAAAGCTTAAAACTCTGTTTGCTTGGCAATGCCCCACTATTCTCAGAATTATGTTGTCAGAACTGTTTACAATCCAGAGCAAATTACTGACTCGGAGAGGTGCAAATCCACCAAGCTCTCCAGAAAGTCGATTTCACATGCATTGAAATAAATGCCATTACTTTAGATTTATTCCATGCTAAACAAGAAAATTCATTTGGCCCAAGGAAAAAAAAAAATAGGAAGCAAGATATGCCATGACCAGCAGCACTGACAGAAATACGCAGGGAGAATAACGCTTCAAAGCTGCTCAGTTGCCTGAGGCTCTGCTATTCCATGCGAATAACTGGTGTTTTCCCTTTACACTAGGTGCTGTCATTTATCATCTTCATCTGCTATATTGCATCTCTAGCTGCCTCTTTCATGGTGGCACCACTCTTAGAGTTTCTGCTGGCACTGTTTCTTTTTTTCGCCTACGCCACCAAAATTAATGAGAAGTTGAAAGGACCCTGCTGGCCTTTGACGGTAAGTGAAATGTGCAATATAAAAACCCACAGATTTAATTGTACAGTATAAAATGAGTAGAAGGGACTATATGGGAGTTTAGGCTGACTGTTAACAGCTTCACCCCCTTATTAGAAACCTGTCCATATTGCTTCTGACTCAAAAGGTCCCAAAGCACTCTGCAAACTCTGCTGTGCTACATACCGTAGAGCTTTCTTGGTGCTGACACAAAGCACGATTTTGTTAAAGCACAGAATTTATGCCCGATTCCAGGCAAATGGCTTAGGGCTGGATCTTCAGAAGCAGGCAACGTCAGCCTAAGTCTGACCACTGCTGGGGTCTCCTAAATATCGTGGGGAGGCTGAGGTATGCTCTGTAGTAATGCATATACTTTACTGAAATGTTTTAAAATTCTCAGGTGAGTGCTGTTGAGATGCAGAGTCATACTCACATGCAAACAAACTGACAGCTGCTTTTGTTACGGGGGAAGCCCTGCAATCTTGCCGGCAGATGCTCGTTCACCCAAAGGCAGGCACCGGCTGTTCACCGGCAGCTGGCAGGCCCGCGCTGCAGGCGATTACCGCGCGCTGGCCGCGGGATGTCTCTCTTGCTTCAGACATGCGTTGGGCAGCCAGCATTTGTGTAGCCGTACAAATACTTCAAAAAAAATGCTAATCCGATCGATTTGGGTTCTCTTTTGGTGCAGTTTTGCAATAGTTCGTCATAGTGGGATCTGAATGAGAACCCTCAATGTATAAAAATAACATTATTAAGGCCACTGGTGGGAAAAACAATAGCAGTGACTTTGACTATGGCAGCGTGCATGGTTTTCAGATGATAATCTCAGTTCCATCGTTTTCCTGTTTTCTACATGCATCTGATTCCAGAACTAAGACAAAAAAAGCACTTGTATGTTTATTATGTCCATTACCATAATATACTCCAGCCGCAGAACGCAGATAATTGACCTCATCCTGATTTCAGAGGAGTCAAGTTTCTTGTAGGATTTGTGTTTTGAGACAGTATCTTATTCATCCATCTGCTCCACAAAGGCAGAAGATCTAATTGTGAACAGAGATCAAGATACCATTATCCCAGCTCGCGTGATTTACACATGCCCTGGGAATCACAGCTCTTTATTTAATATACAGCTCAGAGACGCAGTCGCTCCAGCACATCACTGCTGGTATTACAGGGCACGGCCCCTGCCCTGCAGCGCTACAGTCTCAGCCACAGAAGCACGTATTTCAATGACAGCAATGGGTATGTTCACTTCGGGCTGGCTGCTGGAGTTACAGCTGTACATACTAAGTAGAAATCATAGTTTTAAACACTAAACAAAGTGTTTAGTTCCTAAATGAGGAGTTCCTACAGACTGGCCTACTTCTGTATAGAAACAAGCACACGCCTGTTCCCCACGGGAACTGGTACGCTGCTCCAGAGCCTTTGGTACTGCAGGAGTTCTGCTGAAAGATGAGACTTTTTTTAAGGCATTTCAAATGATTCTTCCATTAGCCCTTGCTGCGCTCCAAGTTAAACGTCACGGAAAGATAGCCCTTCTCAGCCTGAAGAGAGGTCTGCCTGACATACGCATGTTAAAAGTAGGATTTATACCAACATCTGTAAGAACAGAAGCTAATGCCAAGATTCTGGTCATCTCGCATTTAAAAATATTTCCCAGATGAGCAATTCATCAGCTACAAAATACCAGGCTGTAGTCACACTCCAGCATCAGGCAAGTCCACTGACGCAACAACAAAGGTTTTTAATGGTAATTTCTGAAAAAATTTTTAGAGGAGTTTGTATGTTGGAATTATGTGACTAATCTGAGAATGCAACATTGCTTATTTTACAGGATTTCTTGCGGTGCATCACTGCTGCCATTATTTACTTTGCCATTTCAATTGCTGCTGTCTCAAAATACAAAGACGGAGCATCTAAAGCAGCAGGAGTAAGTAGACGTGAGCTTTCCACTTAGGTATTTTGGTGAACTACATATGGACATACTTTAGAAACAATTCAATTTTGACCCCATTGCAAGTAGCAGAAGTTTCTTCAGTTAACTACCTGAGAATTACATTTGCCTAAAGCAAGAAAGAAATGGTCGCTTATTTAGAAAAACAGGTTTTGAATCAATTAATAGTTTTTTCATCCTAACAGTGCTGCCTAATGTTAACTGTACCACTTAGGGAAGGCAACTATTCTGCTTTTTAATTTCACGAGCTGTACAGGGAATATAAACTTCTCTGTTCCTAGAAAGACCATCAAGATCCTTGAGTGGAGGGAATAATAATAATAATAAAAAAAAGAAATCAAACCTGTAACTACTAAGGACAGCCTAAATTAAGTCATTTCAACCTCCTGCTTCTACTGCTTAATTTTACTTGGTTGAGTTGAAACAAGAGCAGTGTCATTTTACCCCCCAGTATACGGACTGCCCAGGAGAGAGCCTTTGCTGTCAGCATTTTGTGTTCAGAAATAGGATACAGCCTCTCCATCTGCAACTTGACTCCAAGTATCAATCATGTATGCAACATAAATAAAATCTGCATAATAATTTTAAAAGATAGGGAAGAACGCCACCCAGTAGTGTTAGCCAGCAACCCCCACCAAACCATCCCAAGTCATACACGACTTCAAAACAAAGACGTTGTTTTAATCTTTGTCACTCCGTTTAGACGTGGAGCAACGCAACATAGCATTTACCCTAGCTTCTCGGCCTGAAAAACAGCCTAGTCTTGCCACACTGCTGCTTCTTTGGCACCAAATAGGTAACGCCAGAATCATTTTATCTCCACCTCGTTCACTCTGCAATAGACACATCTCCTTGCAAACCAGTAAAAAATAATTTCCCGAGAAATCGAGGCGATTTCTTGGTGGCAAGAGATGCCTCGGGATGGTGGAGGTGCAGGTTACGTTCTGTAGCCCCTGGCACAGGGCAACGCTGATGCTCAGAACGCGCCCAGAGCCAGAGGCGGATGGAGCCTGGGAAAGGGCTACGGACACATCTGATAGAGCAACTGCAGGGATCACTACTCAGGGTCCCAAATTAGCTGTAATTTAGTTGATGCCAGTGGGTCACGAGACATTTCCCTTCCCCGTCTTTTTAGAAAGGTACAGACCAAAAAATTCAAGCTCAAGTTTTCCTTAAGGATTTTTCTTGTGTCAGTCAGGCTTATTTTGGTTTGTCATTGATGGACATGAACTGTTGTTAAAGAGAGCATTATTTTTCCATTTTAGGTGTTTGGATTTAAAGCCACGATAGTGTATGCCATTGATTTCTACATAACCTTCAATGACCTGGTTACTTCTCTCAAGCAAGGCAGTGCTGATGCCCCTGAAGGGCGCAAGTCAGAAGGTAGGTAAAATTCCCTGTTTTGGTTAAATGGGCATGTAACGTGAGATTTTCTTCTCCATTTCACCCTTCACAGGGGAGCAAAAGCACTCAGTAGTAACAGTTTCTATTGTTGGCTACCTTGCTTTCGTATGCCGCAACTGTGCTGAATTATGAAGCTGCATAATCTTAAAATACAACAACTGGAATTTCACTGATTTATGAAGATAAGTAGCAAGCCAGGAATGTGAAGTTTCTCAGAGTTTTGCATCATCTAACTTTGAAAGGCCCCAAATCCAATTACAGAAATTATTGCGCAGCACAGACTTTTTTCCTCCCATCAAGTTGTCTACCTTTAAAAATAAAGATCTACCTTTTTTGGATAACTTAATGATTAGCATCAATTAGTCCACAGTCTTTTATATCCAATAGCGCTTTTCTCTTTATCATCTCTTTATTATGATTACCTCTTTTTCAGAGTCGAGCTTTGACCATCTGTGGGCAAATGGCCTTGAAATCCAAGGGCCACACAGCATAAAATTAACAAGAGTGTTACCACATTTCTTTCCAATACAGGAGGAACAGTCTACCTCAAATCAGACAGATCCACTTAGACAAAGATAAAAAGGGGGACACAGGTAGCTATTTTGCAGTAGCCAGGAGCCAAAACCAGGCATCATGCCCCTGTGATACTACTTGTTGCACCCACACAGATGAAAAAGACTGCTCCACACTTAAACAAAAAATTCCCAAACACCAAAAAACACCCCACTTAAAACCAAAACCCGCAAAAACGCTCAAGAACAGACACCCAACACATGTACAGAAACCTAGAAGGTATATAGTAATGCTGACAGTCTTTTCTAGGTATTTTAGTAGACTGTGAAATGTTTTGCAAGCTTTAGGCCAAAAAGAGAGACAAAGAAAAGCAGAATTAAAGGAACAGATTGTAGGAAACGGACTGTTAGACTAAAAACTGTTTGTCCCTGCAAACTGAACTAACCTCAGAAGAAGATCAGGTGACAAGGGTATGAAATTAGGCCAAAGATTAGATCTAATTTCCCTGGAGATGGAGAGAGAAATATATAAACTTACAAATATGCAGTCACGCAGCTTTTTGTCAATGATTTGATGGTGCAAGAAGGGCTCTGCCCTGCAGTACTGCTCCTCCAGCACCAAACTCACATTCATGCTGTAGCTCAACTGCTGAGGCCTGAAATCCCCTGCTTCCTTGCAAGCCGAGTCTCGAGCTTGGGCAAGATGTACCTATCAGGATTTCTTAACATCTTAAAGCTTCTGGTTTTCAGATACGTTTAACTAGCAGTGCGTAACCATGACCCACAGCAAACAGCAATACTGTAGTACAGGAAGCATGTCTTCAGCAGACTTCCTCTTGGTGGTCATGCTAACAATCATCTCTCTGCAACTTCTTTCATCTGAACAGTTATCTATGTTGTAGTGGTCTAAGTGCCTCTCAGCAGCATTTCTCAAGTCCTTTAAAACACCATTTAAAGCTCCAGCATGTTAGAACTGTCATCTTGCAAGCGTTTTCCTAAATATGGCACGTCCTTTGAAGCAGACACCTGCTGAAGAGCAGCGTATCTCTCCCAGCAAGAGCTAAAGCTGACGTGGAGATTTCCAGGTTTCATTTTCTCTATTGTTCCTTGTTTTAAATTTCAGATGAGGACTCAGATTCTGACTCGGACTGAAGAACTGAACACCAACCGAGTGTGAAGGGAAGATGATCAAGCACTTTGCTGAATGCACTGCCAACTGAATTATGTCCCTTACTTCAGCCTCGGTATCCTCTTTCCACCTCACTGTTTATGGAATCGCCAAAGCACAGACAGGGCAGTGATGTGGAAAAGGAGCCTATTCCCAATGCCATTAAGACAGTCATTCAGAACTACAGATTTTACAGTAGTTCAACCTGCCAGAGGTCCGTATCGAAACAACACATCTCAATTCTCCGTTGCCCCTCCTTACTCAGCACTGCAATGTCCTGAGTAAACGGGAACATAGTATTTTAAACGCATAAGCGGAGCTTTTAATACGCTTTCTTAATTCCAAATCTTTAACACTTATAGCTTTTATACTTCTTGCTGTGCCAAAGAAGAGAGGCTCAGAACGCCTCTACTTTATTTGTATTTTTCTTGATTAACTAACAGTGTCTCTTATCTGAAGTCTGAATATTCCACTATCTCAAGCACTGAAGGCATAGATTATAGTTAACATGTTGGTTTCAATACATTCATATCTAGTACCTATCTGCGACAAGTGACAACTGGAAATCTGCAGCAAGAACAAACCTCAGAGTATAATTGTGCCGCAGGATAGCTGGCTCATCAAATATTCAGTATCACTTTTTTAAGCTGCTTGGATGGGGTCAATCACCACAAGAAGATGGGGTCTTCTGCAATTTCACCACAGGGAAGAGGTAGAACAGATGAGGCATTGTCTTACTGACCCCTTCCTACCATTTGCATGGAAGCCCTTGTACGTGTTTGCACATACGGGTAAGGAAGGCTGGCCAGATACCATCCAACATTATCTGCCTATTGAAGCCTGAAAATACTTGCGTGCAAGATACCACTGTCTGATCTCATGCTCTGTGTTGCGAACACTGGTCCTCCCATGAGAAGTAGCGCTGGACTTAGTCCGCTGGGTTCGCAAAACAGACGACTGTTGCTGTAAAACTCAGGATACCTGGGCCCCAGGAGGGCAATATATCCTTCCCACTGTGAAAAGGCAAAAAAACCCCAACCTCCAAACTAAAGAATGTCTGCAATGAAATTCATTTTCCCAGACCCCTTTTTTTGGTGCGTGTGCGTGTCTTTTGTTTGGGGGGGCAGGGGTTGGTTTGTTGGTTGTTTTTTTTTTTTTTCTTCTCCCCCTCTCGGAAGGACATGATTAATCTTGTGGTCTGTTCTGGGGGAAAAGCCTTCTGAATTTACAAGGTGTTTTCATGGGTAGCACAACCTGCCTTGAAATATTTGTGTCCACCTATAAATGCATACTGCTTGGAAAAAGCATGGCATGTTCCTTATATATGGCATCAGATAGGTCTATTTCAAAGAAACTGTATATACATTTTTAAAAAATTAATACAGTACCAGAACAGGTGGCCTTAACAAAAAGTAATTAAAATGAGAGCAGATGGTACTAACAGAGTAAATTAAAAACAGGGATAAAACAATAAAGGCAGATTTCCTTTGGAACAAAATTGCCGCTTGGGTTCCAATTCCCTGCTAGCAGCTGGCTGCTGACGGGCAGAAACACAGAGCCTAACAGCGAGCAGGTGCTTGGGAAGGTACGGGCCAGATTCGGAGTTGTCTAACAGGCAGCTCCTACATCTCCTGCTTCCAAACCACTGAATAAAAGCAAAACAAATGGTTGCTTCCAAGTGTGACAAATAATCTTTGCTTTTATGAGAAAGAGTTCTTTGGACCTTTTCCGGTATGAAATTCCACATTTCTTTCTTTTCTATTGTCATATTTTACTGGCATGTACTGTGATGTCAGGGGACCTGGGCTCATTTTTATATTCAATTGTTTTGTATTTCTCTTTTGTTTTTAATTAAAAAAAATGTACTGCATGTCACAGCTGGAAACTAGTACATGGTTAATATTTAGAAACCATGCTGGATTAAACCTCTTTTAATAGAAGCGCTGGATGTCTTTACTTATTTTAAGATCTGGTTTTACTGCCTTGCCTCTGACCAGCGAGAGTAATGGTGTTTCAAGACACCCCGTCCGGAAGGACACCGTGTGCTGGGGAGGTGACAGTAGCACAGAGCCAGCACTGGAGACCAATCACTCACGCTTACACGTCTTGCAAGGAGAAACTGCATCTTCAGCGCAGAAGCATGAAAGAATTTAACCAAGAATTGGTTTTAGCATATTTAGTAGACATTGGAGATACAGTGCCCCTACTTGGCAACTAAAAACATTGTTAACAGCAATCCCCTTTGGGTTTACCCCTCACAGATATGTTATAACCTGAAACCTGCTAAGGTTTTCCAGTAATTTTTTCATGTTGGAATGCTCCTAAAATCAACAGAAGAGGCAAACAAAATCGCTCATTAGTTGCCTCAGGACTATTTTAGCAGGCATGCAATGAATTGCCTGTCCAGAGAATTTCATTATTAGCATCCAAGTATTTGATGATTTCATTTATTTCTAAGCAGTTTGCTCCCAGGGTCAAGCACTTGTGTAAGATTCCAGCCTTGTATTTAAAAAGATCTGTTCCCATGATTGAAATAAAATGTGCTTCTGTATTTTACGAATATCATTTCAGAAAAAAATAATTCAATTAAAAATGATTACTTTAAAGCCAATTCTGATTGGTGGGGTAGGGAGGGCCGACCCAATCTTTTATTCATCTCCTGCCAGCAATATGGCACAAAGCTCAGGGTCCTGTGTAGGGCAGAGGAAAAGTCTGCTTGGTTTTTTGGCTTTTTTATTTGTTTGCTTGCTTGCTTGTTTTTCCTCAACTGACAAGATCAAAACAGTGGAAGCACTGGTTTCTCTGTAATTCAGGATTTGTGACACAAGCGTAACATTACACCTGCAGCATGGAAGCCTTACTGAAGTTCTTATTTCGGTGTACCAGCAGGGTCATAATCTCTCTCATTTTTTCAGCGTCTCTTTTTGCTCACAATACATTCTTGTTCAAAACAGGAGCCGTTTCCAAAACCCGTACAGGCTAATACATGCCTTCATCACAACCAGAGCGCAACTATTCCCATTTTGAATTCCTGTGCTTGTTGAACAGCGCTCAGCAGTAGGCAAACCTAGGGAGCGATGACAGTTTCCAATACCAAGTGTGGAACAAATCTGTAGAAACAACGCAAGAAGTCCTACGATATCAACACTGTGAATGAAAGCCACTAACAGGAAGGAAAAAACAATCGGCTGGCATCACAGATGAATGGCTTCGTACAGCTCTCACACTGCTGGAAGGTCTCCCCTCCCTCCTTCTCCCACCTTCTCCTATCAACAAGCTTTTATACTTATCTGTGGAAGATTTCTTCATTGTTGTGTGGTGATTTTGGACAGGGGATGTTAAGGAATTCGAAAGACCTTTCCAAGCAGCCTTTTTAGCTTCTCACTGAAATAAGAGGCTCAAGTGTCCTTTTAACACTTTGTTCATTACTCCACTTCATTTCGCTTTTCACCCGATATTGTTCAAAGTTCTGTAAGTCTTAAATTTCCAACTGACAAAGTAATTTCCAAGATACCAAGTGAAGAGTGGTGTATCTCAGCCTATGTGGTATTTGAGAAGAATGCTTCCACCAGCCTAGTGTGTTGGAAAGCAGAAGACAATTTAATGCTCTGCATAGCAAGCAGATGTTTTTCATTCATTATGCTTCTGGGAAGTGTTCACTGTGCAAATCTCTAAGCCTGAATTTTATAGCCGCATCCTCCCCTGCTAGGAGACCAGCAGCCTGTATCATTAAGTGAGCGTGTACTTGTAACCAAACACTAACAGTGCATGTTTCTGACACCTGTACTTCTAAAATGCATACATAAATGAGAAAACATACATACTGCTACTAGGCTGAGCTAAACCTCATAGCAGGCAGCTTGTAACCAAGCTCTTAAGAGATTAAAAATAATAAAATGAAGAGGCTTCATTCCAAAGACTAGGATACAAACTGCCCCCAAAGAGCAAATGTAAGATACGTATCGCCTTGTATTTTTACGTTATGTGTGAAGAAGCTCCACCTAACCATCCTTTAATCCTTTTCTGAGCATGGAGAGAGAAAGGGAGGGAGAATACATCAAGGAAGCACAATAAGTTTAGATAGGCACTGAGAATGTGAATCTTACTACAAGATGCTTGAGACAGCTTCCTGCATGAAGTATTGGTTTAAAAGTCAGGATGGAGACACCATCTCTTGATTTCCTTCTAAGTAAACATGACTGCATCAAAACACCCTCACTGCAACACAGATTCCTCCTTTACTGGAAGAATTCAGAGTACTCTGAACGTTTTATAAAACTTCCAGGTCAGAAGGTAAAACAATGCTACCCAGAAAACATAAGGGTTTTTAAATCCATTTTTCAATCTATTTCCTTGAAAAAGAAAACAGTGATTCCAATGTTAATTTTGGCCAAGTAATACCTGTGCTTTTATTTTATTTGTGATGCATTTTGTTAGCCTGATCCATTAAGAAAGAAATCAGTTATAGTCTTCCCAGGAGACTGAAGGAAGATTCAGTATTTAAAAGTTAAGCCAGAATAAACTTTTTTTTTTAATCCAACACCTGACAAAGCTTCTCTTAGACCAAGGAACACCATGGATAATGACATCAGAAGCAATACAGCATTAAGTCCAGCACTTCAACTCTTCATTTTCTTAAAGACCATCAGTTTCATTAAGGCCTGATCTCTAAGCAGGTCCAATGGATACAACACCACAACAGATTAGAATTTACCACTGCTGACAACCCCACATGGGCAAAATGGACTGGCCCATCTTCTAGCAGAAAAGCTGTACAAGCACATGACCCTCCTTAGTGAATCCTTCCTTAGAAGCTCAACTGTACCGCATTTGTCCACCTCCCCACATGCACGTTATCCCTAAGCGGTGTTTTAAGAGCATCATCAATATTCCCAAATCTTTCCACAACACTCATTCAACCATGTGTGCGTTTCCTCAGTTCTTACCCTTATTAACTCAGTGCTTTCACCTTGCACCTAAAGCA